ACGTCGCGCACACGCAGCTCACGCACACACATCGCACACACGTGCTCACGCCACACACGGCGCTCACGCACACACGTCACACACATGCGCTCACGCACACACACACGCTCACGGCACACACGCACACACGTCGCACAGACACGCTAACGCACACACATCGCACACACGGTGCTCACGCACACGTCGCGCTCACGCACAACGTCGCGCACTACGACACACACGGTCGCACATACACACACGGCTCACGCACACACGCGCTCACGCATACACAGCATCACACAACACGTCGCGCGCTACACACGCGCCGGCTCACGCACACACGACCCGCTAACGCACCCACACGTCGCAACACACGCCAGCTCACGCCACACACGTCACACACACGCCGCTCACGCACACACGCTCGCCCACACACGCGCAACGCACACGTCCACACATGCGCAAACGCACACACGTGCGACACACACACACACGTCACACACACGCACGTCACACACACGCTCGCTCACGCACCCACGTCGCACACAGCGCTCACGCACACACGTCACACACACGACGCGCCAGTCGCACACACGGCGCATAACGCACACACGTCGCCACACACGCGCCTCACGCACACACGTCGCACACACGCGCTCACGCACACACATGACACACACGTGCTCACGCACACACGTTCATTTCACGAATACGAAATCTGGTCTGGAATTGTGTCCAAAATGTGTTCACATACGCCGCCGAAAACAGTGAAGGCACAGGGATGGTATCAGGAACCTTCTCAAGAATGTTCGTTGGGATCATTATGAAAGTTGCCACGAGATGGCCGATATACGTTTAAGTGTCTTAGATTAAGATGGAAGCTCCCATCGACGTAGTAGCAACAACTATTTGCCAAGACAGAATAGGTAAGCACTCATCCATTTACCTACGCAAGCCTACAGGCTGAAATAGAGAGCTGCCACCTGTAACTAATTAACGCAGGCAAAAACTACACAGTACTATCACCACTACATGCACTGGCAGTGGCCACTGCATCTGGCATAAGTTACATGTACACACGTACACTGACAGTACAGAATGGCCATAGAAAATTATACGATTTAAGGCGAGCATAAACCTTCTTCAACCAAATTTAGCTTTTGAAATTTCACTGTGACATTGTAGCTCATACTCCAGGCATGTATAGATTCTACTAGCAAACCGCGCAGTCAAATTAATGTTCTAACAGTAAACAAATCATGTTTAACCCTCCTCTGAGGGTCAAAAGTACCGACACTACTTCTTCGCATGTCCAGCAGAAAGTACATTTCATGGTCCTTTCAATAAAGCCATAAAAATGCCTAGCGTCACTGCTGAAGCCAAAAAAGTTTTTCAATCGCTCCGTCAGACATGTCTCAGAAAATGTCTAAAATCTACCCTGTGCTCCCATTGACCTTTGACCTGCGACCTCACATTTCGGCCACAGTGATGGCTTTTCCTACCATGATGCTATACACCGACTATCACAGCCTAGGTCAAGCCGTTTAGATTTGTGCCCAATTCTGCCATTTCCTCCCTAATACCTTAAGTTAAGGAGCGAATGTTCCCCTTCTTTTACAGCTCTTGACCTTTTGCACTTTGACCCCCAGCTTCGACATCCCAACTCGTTTTCGGATTACCCCCCCCCACGCCGAATATCGTGACCGTTACGTCGAGCGCGTTAAGATTTGTGCGCCAACTGTTGACGGACGCACGAACGCACGCACGCACGGACGATCATGCGATCCTACAAGCTGCATCTGACTACGTCAGATGAGCTAAAAACCCACCACACTCACAATAAATTAATATAATATGTTCAAGTTTATTTGGGGCTGGATCGTAAGCGCAGAGAATATAGCGGTGCATGCATGCAGATATAATAGACTGACAGCACAGTATACAGTCAAGAGCATATAAAGAAGGTATATATAAGAAGTATATATACCTTCTTTATACGCTCTTGATACAGTGTATCTGTTTTTGTGTACTTCAGCAAAGAAAATCCTCATTCACAGGTGGCAGTAGAAGGGCAAACATTTGAGTTAGCTGATCACGTAATGACCATGCCTGGCCTGGGGGCCGGGGGCCCGTTGTCAGAAACAAAATTAGTCTCAACATTAGTCTTAACATTAACTTCCACTCATTAACCGTTGACAGAAACATCGTAATGTTACAGAACGAAAAATCCTCGCAAATATCTCTTAACATTACGAGAGCCCAGATCTCGTAACTTTAAAATTAAGTTGAAAATAACACATTTACACTACGAATTAACAATTACGTGATATTATATTTATTAATAATGAAAAATGTGTTTTTCTTGAAAAACACGTCAAAATCATAAATTATCTACGCGCTAATAGAAACAAACAGACAATAATTACAAATAGCGTATGGCATTTGTTCTCTGTTTTAAATGCTTTGCCATGAGCTTGCACGACTCTCACGTCTCATGTTAGTGTGCAGAAATTTGTCTTGTTGTGGGCAGAATAATTGATGACGCACGTCATTTTTTCATTAAAACTATTATTTATATGCTGTTATAGCCATCATTAATATAGCATAAATGACTGTTGCCTGTACAATAAATGTGTATGAATTTAATTTTGTGATCGATCTCATCCAATCAGCAGCCTTGTTGACATGAAATTATGAAGTTCCTGTTATCGTGCAGTGTTTGCTCGTAGCCTACGATGTGTTTTCTGTCAACGCCTACTCTCGTAGCATTAACATAGTCGTAAGCTGTTATCGGTAGCATTAACATTAGCATTAACTTACGAGTTTCTGACAAGGGGCCTGTTCCGGCCCGTTTACCTGTTGCGCTGTATACATGTGTATGATATGACTGTTTTGCCTGATTGTTCCAACTCGCATTTGTGTTTTTTTCATTCCAAATCTCGTCGCGGCAGCCTTGCTGCAGGTCGCAGCAAGGCAGCCGATGTAGCCGCGATGTTGTGTCTGTGCAAATAATGCAAGCGGCGGGTGTAACTAAAAAATAGTATTATGTCTAGATTCTAAACATTCAAGTAAAATAAATTTGCTTGCCCCCAAGCGGGCAAGTGGGCAATTTCAAGCTACTTGCCGGCGGGGTAAAATTTTTGTGTGCCTTCAATATGTGAATAAATATATTCAATACTTTACCTTGTTTCGTCTAGGATTTCACCCTTAGGCGAGAATATTTTTTATTTTGTTGGTATTAGCAGATCGCGCGCGACCTCGAATTTCAAAGAAAAACGATTGCAAAAGAAAATAAAATTGAAAACAATTGCTATTTTTTTATTCCGCGCGACTTTTCTCTAAGAAAGCATCGATGAAAAAAAATGCTAAACATTTTGCGGGTGTGGGCTGTTGCACAAACAGTCTATAATAAAAGTAAAAATAATTACAAGTGAGTTTTGTTTTCATTTAGCTTTTTCTTAAAATAACTTTAATAATCAATTGTATAAACACGTATCACTGTATTTGACGTTGTCTTGATCTGACAAAACAATTTTTTTTCCCCTACCGAGTCACACCAAACAACAAAAATTCTGTAAACCAACAAAACAAAAAAAGGTGGCCTTAATCATATGACACCACCAATTTACCTGAAAATCGTAATGTGTTCTTCAAAAAAGCTTCTTTTGAATACGACACGCGTTTTACACAAGTTTTCCCAAATGTTCGCCATGTATTTTAGGCGGCATGTGTGATATGCGGGCGCAGCACCAGGTTGTAACTACGCAGAGCGCTGGGGTCTGTTGGGGATATTATTATTAGGTAAGCACAGTAACAGCGCACTTGTTTCGCTTCCTTATCATCAGGAACTCAAATGGGCAACACAAGCTCAAATCAGCTGCTAGTCGCCGCTGAGCACACATTATTTCTAGCTCGCTGGAAACAGCTACACGCTGAATACAATTCGATGCCTATAATATCCCACACAGGCCCCAGCATTCGTCATAGACAATAGAACACTAATCCCATAACAAACATTGGTCTGGGACATGCATCCATGCGTCAAAACTGTAGGAAACCGTGCGCGTATTAAAATAACTTTTTTGAAGAACACATACGATTTTCAGGTAAATTGGTGGTGTCATATGATTAAGGGAGAATCATAGACAAAAACAAGGTAAAGTTTGAATATATTTATTCACATATTGATAGAATATTTACAAGTTGAAAACTATGCAAAACGCTGTCATGAATACGTACTCTTTTCTATTATGAGCTCTTGATAATATATATCACAGAATAAGCTGAAACGCGTGCATTACACAGTAGTACTACTACTAGTACTACTATACTACTACTACTACTACTACTACTACTACTACTACTACTACTAGTACTACTACTAGTACTAGGTACGTACTAGTAGTAGTAGGGTTATGGTAGGTATCGCACACTATGTGACACCATGCAACGATGTAATACTATTACATCGTTGTACTAATAGTAATAATACTAATAGTTACTAATAGTAATACAACATAGACACGGTTAGAGACCGTGGGAATACCGAAACAAATCTGAAATCATATCCCACGTTCTCTAACAGTGTCTATGATGTGTTACATCGTTGCATGGTGTCACATAGATGATATGCCATTGTAAACCGACCAGGCTCTCCAACTGTTACACGTCGTAGGCCTCTCGCCAACGTAGAACGCGAGAAGGAAACTTGTGGCTAATGCCATGGGAGGAACAGCCTACAGGTCACAATGACATTTGGAATCGTTTTTAAAGAGACACATACGTCTGTAAAGACTGACGACAGAGTAAACACTTTACGTTTCATCGACTCTTACGTTACACATTAACTTGTTATCATTTACCTTGTATAACCGTCTGAAAAATGGGAAAATATGTCAACTTTCACCGTCTCGCCCACTTCACATCTTCATGTTCGCGGGTTCACGATAACACTAATGACATCATCGAACGGAGCTCTCGCGTCGTCTCGTCACATCCGAGTTAATTCGCGAGAATGTGAACAAGGGAGCATTTGCTAAGGAGAACGACATCTTCGATCTAGTTTCGGATGATTTTCAGCAAAAGATCCTGGTAGCTAAACTTTCCATAAAATGTGGTTATACCATATCTTTGTGCTTGGGTTGATACCCTTTCTAATATTCCAAGTTGCTGGAGTCTACGTAGAGGTAGGTTGAAACGCACCTAATATTTAGAACGGCAACATAATTTTCTCTTCCCTTTCGGCTTTCGTCCGTGCCATCGCCTAGGTTGTACTTGTACTAGTTGTAGGGGCCCATCTTCGCAAATTTTAGTGGCAGTGTGTGTGTGTGTTTGTAACCGGACATGTACATTAAATATGTAATATGTTAGGGTCTAATCTAATCTGTAGAATTTTAAGTAACGTCGCCATGCAGCTGTGAGCTTTAGCTTAGACTGGAAGTGCAATCTACGCAGAAAAATTGTTCGAAAATGTATAAAAATGTGTAAAAATGTTGGTTCAAGGATAGAGAACATGGGTCCCAATAAAACCAATGTCATTTAAATCAATATAAATATAATATTATATCAATATAATAGGTTAGGGTTATGGTTAGGGTTAGGGTTAGGATTAGGGTTAGGGTTAGAATTAGGGTTAGGACTTAGGGTTAGGTTTAGGCACATTGGTTTTATTGGGACCCATGTTCTCTATCCTTGGGCCAAAATGTTCTTGCTGAATGAAGCCTGTTCATAGCACTCGATCGTCTGAGTGTGATCATTGCTTTCAACATAGGGGGCCTACATGTGCCATTTTCTAAGGATCCCTTTAAATTTAACTACTTTGTTTCTGACATTCAATATTGAAATTCTCTCGAGTCTTTGGTTAATTGTAAATTTCAAGCTTTTTCGGTTCAAGGATAGAGAACATGTGTCCCAATAAAACCAATGTCATTTACATCAATATAAATATAATATTATATCAATATAATAGGTTAGGGTTATGGTTAGTGGTTAGGGTTCGGATTAGGGTTAGGGGGTTACGAATGGTTGGGTTAGGGTTAGGCACATTGGTTTCACTGGGACCCTAGATACAATAAATGTAACCCAAACCCAAGAGGATAGGTTACAAAGCCTCCTATCCTTTTGTGCGGATGGAATGCCCGAGTAGAATCACTCGGGCCGGGTTTGCTGGTGCGTTTCAGAGACTAGAACTTCCAAACTGGGTTTATTCTCAACACGAACCTTTCTCCGCTATCTGGGAACTTACTATGTATCCAACTACTCTGTATTAAACTAATATAACCTGTTACAAAAATTCGAAGTGACGAGCGGCGAATATACTGAGCGCCATTTCTGTTGACCTGTGACGTACTTCGGTTTGAAGAGGCGGATCACCGACCAATCGGAGGCGCTGCGTTTGCCGTGCTTATGCGCAGTTGGGAAATAGCGTACGTCAACAGGTCAACAGAAATGGCGCTCAAGTATATTCGCCGCGCGTCACTTCGAATTTTGTAACAAGTTATATTAGTTTAATACAGAGTATTGCGATACATAGTAAGTTCCCAGATAGCGGAGAAAGGTTCGTGTTGAGAATAAACCCAGTTTGGAAGTTCTAGTCTCTGAAACGACCCACCGCAACCGGCCCGGTGATTCACTCGGGCATTCCTCCGCACAAAAGGATAGGGAGGCTTTGTAACCCTATCCTCTTGGGTTTGGGTTACATTATTGTATCTACTGGGACCCATGTTCTCTATCCTTGGGCCGCTTTTTCTACTGCAAGCTGCATTGTTGATCTGTCTATTTCAGTATTTGATCAACTTTGTCTCTCCATCTTCGATATCACATACCCTACATAGTCTCTTGTACTTTGAAGAATAATCTTTATTTAAGGTTATGAGGTAGAAATCACGTGCACGTGAGTGACAGAGTCGTTTCAATCATGAAATTATGGTAAATAAACATAAAATGCATTTACTACCAAAGTAATATTTACAGAGTGGCTATATGCCCGGCAGCCGGCATATATCTGATGGCTGCCGGGCACGGTCTTCGATTTCCTAAATGCCCAGCAGTTTTTAATTTTCAGCGTTATCTCAAGTAAACAAGGGTTACGGTTAGGGTTAGGGTTAGGAACTGCCAGGCATTTAGGAAATCGAAGACTGTGCCCGGCTGCCGGGCATATAGCCACAGCGTAATATTTATGTGCTCTCAGTTAGTATATTAGATCCCCCCACAACTTACCTAATATCATTTGTTGATTTCCGACAAACTTGATTTCATGTAGAAGTGGCAGGGCTTCAGTTAGTAGTTACTCACTGTAATTTGTAAAATGGTTGTCAAGTTGAGTAAAAAAATTGATTAACTTTGTATTCTACACAACAGCCTCACAGTCACAGCTATGCACAAATTGCAGAGTTAGATGTGATTTTAGGCGATGTGATCTATGCTGTTGGCCACAAGAAGCGAGGCCCAAGGTCTTCGATTTGTGCAAAGGTGTGAAGTTATTGTGTAAAAATACTAACTTAATACCTGTTTTATCATTTTACTGTACCATGAAAGCCATTCCTCCTCTGCTGCGGCATAGATGGAATGTGTAGGTGGCTATATATAGTGTTTTAGGTAGGTTGTGTGCATCATTGTCACACACTACCTGTAATATTTATTGCATAATAATTCCTTGTAAATGCCGCTCAAATACTCCTCTGCTACAAACAGCCTCAACGCATGAATGCCACTGTGGACATAATACTCGGATTCTATATATCTATTTGTGTATTTATTTCCCATTACTTTATTATTGAAATTAACCAAGTGCATGCGATAAAAAATAACCATAAATTGAGCCTACTCTTACTTAGTACTATGGTACTACAGGGTTATATTATTTTTATATTATTGATATTCTTGCATTATGGGTGCCACTGCCTTATATCAGGGCTCGACACTAGCGCTGGCCCGATGGCCCGGGGCCAGTAAAACTGTACGTCGGGCCAGCAGAATTCCAGAAATGCTAAATTTTGGTGGCCCAACACTAAACTTTCTAAGTGATTATGTGAGAAAAAGTATAATTTTCTTACGTGAAAATCTTGTGCGTGCGTGCGTACGTACGGTATGTGTGCATGTATATTTGTGTAGCTACAGCGTGTGTGTACGTGACTACGTGTACGTGTGCATGAGCCGCGATAGCTAGAACAATACGCAAACAATAGTTACAATACAATGCGCGTGACTGCTGCAATATGGTGTGATGCGATGTATGGGTACTTAAGCTATACGGTAGTTTGGGTCTCGTATGCGAGAGAACTTTACGCGTAAAAACATAATTCGAGTCTTCTGCATATAAAGCGAATGCGTGTCGTTTCTGTTCTAGTTTCTGTTTGTGTTCGTGGAACGGTTAGCATTAATCATTGGTCCAGTGCATTGTAGCGCGCAGTTTCAATAAATCGATATCATTACACACGCAGCTCTGCGTAGGGCGCGTTTGTTTGGTCGGATCCACGGATCTCGATCCGATGGATTCGTTGATCTGACTGTTTGTTTGGTCGGATCACTTGATCTCAATCCACCGAACCCGACCCTGCTAGCGAGGCGGATTTGAACAGGATCCAATATGGCGGCCCGCGCCTCAGCCAATAACAGCTTGTTCTTTGTTATGAACCATCCCGTGATAGGTCACAGCGAAACGTGATCCGGTGAAAGTGAGTTTGCGTTTGTTTGGTCGGATCAGGATCACATGATCTCGTTCAGACGGATTCGTCCCAAACAAACGCGCCCATAGTTAATGACCCTGTGACCTTGACCTTGACCTTGGGTGTAAGTGGCTCAGAATCAATAGGGTTCTCTCGCCCCATAAGATGCAACTGTGGACCAAGTTTGAAGTTTCTTCCTCTTACGGTTGCAAAGATATCGAGCGGTATATATATTCTATGTACCCCTTATTTAAAGTTATTAAAGTAAATATTGAAGACTCATTTTCAAGCTGCACAAGATGCACATACAAGGATTGTGTTTGTTTGAAATACTTACAAGAATTTCTGCAGCAAAAAGCTAGTGCCAGTACGTGTTTTGCCAGTGTTTTACTGTTTGTTAAAAGAAAATAATCTCATGATCTTGTCTTGTACAGGTGTTACGGGTGTCTTTCAAATTGTGTGTAGAAAACATGGACTTTATTTTAACTTGAAAATATACAGTACTTGTACTTGTACTTTGATGTCTTGCCAAAAAAAAATGTCGAAGAAATGAGCGAAGTTTGAATAATGGTATTATACAAGACTCTAGTCTGGGGAATATTTGATGTGGATAAATGTATGCCCCTCAATGTGAGATTGTGTTGAGACTTATGTAAGTGCATCTATTAATAAAGAGGTCTATCCAGTCTTCATATAATTAATTAAAATATAGGATTTATCACAACAAGATGGGTTTTTAATGTTTTCCTCTTTTTTGGGGTGCCAATAACTTTGCTTTTCGGGCCATCAAAAATTGAAAATTCATAATTTTACTGGCCCGAACGGGCCACTAGAAAAAAAAGTTAGTGTGGAGCCCTGCTTATGTGATTGGACGCACCTGCTACACTTTAAATAATTATCGGAATTTCGTGTGAGTTATACATTCTAGACATTGTACTATACAGATGATTCCAGATTATGGTAATTGGTATGACTCACCAGTGTTCAAGCAACTGCATTTGATGTTTCCAACGCATAATTATTGCATATAAATTGTTGGCCAAATCAATTTTAGTTCGATGCAAATTTATATTGTTATTTTGATCGTTCGTTGAGCACCCAGGCACAGGTGGCCTTTAGTAGTAAATACAATTTGTGTTTAGTTACTAACTAAATTACTATAGCCTGTCCAAAAAGTGATCTGATGTTCCATAGTTGGTGTTAGTGTCTGTGAAAAGAATTCAAAGTGTCACATTCAGTTTTACTCTACTAGTACTGGCACCCCAGTCCATAATGATGGCATAGAACCAACAGTAGCTCCAAAAATACTAAGTAATATAGGTCATACTGCCATACATTAAAAGACCGTTTCAAACTTTCAGTGTACAAAAACTTATCATTGTTTCAGTTTTCAAACATTACTACAACTAGTGTAACATGTAAAAGCCTAGGTGAGTGAATAAACCTATAGCTCACTCTCAGTAACTGGGTGCTACTAAGCATTTCTTATTTACTGAGTTACACTATTTTCTGAGATGAAGTGAGTGACGACAACCCCATAATGCAATTTGCCGCGAGCTCGGTTTGACTAAAATGGCAAATTGACCATGTGAATAGCATAAATTTCGGTTTCAGCTGTTTATCTTGTACTGTTTCAGGTTTTCCAAGTCCAGATCAAATGGAAATTGCAATATGTTTGTTTATTTTGTTCACCTTGTAAATAGAGCTGGGTTAGTGTTAGGTTAGGTAAAACATATATTAATTTATATTTGTTGGAGGTTGATATTCTTACAATTATAATATAGCGGGTGCATCTAACGGCATTATACCTGTGAATTATATTTATAATCAGTAAACATTCAGTGTGCTTAAAATTATTACAATAAATTGTTGCTCTAACAGTGTATAATATTACTATGTAGTGTAGTAGAGAGGCAATATTTTGTAGGGAGTGGCTACATGCCTGGGCATCCCTCTTACATGAGATCTCGCTGCACATTGCACATGAGTTATATCAAAAGCTAATAATACTAAGAGGTATTATTAGCTCTTGGTTATATCTACTTAAATGCTATCTTGCTTTAAAATAGTATCAGCTTGGATACACTCGATATAGATCTCAGTTTTTAAGTGGTAGCATTCAAGATGTCTCATGTGATTTGTGTAGGACATAAACTGCTAGATAAAACAACGATTATTGTTTTTAGGTCTTTGTATAAGTGGTAATGAAAATGCTAATGTATTGATTGGAGAATTGCAAGTAATGTAGTTTCCTTGCTTGATTTTGCCATGTTGCAAGTTTTTGAAACTAGTATTCATTAGGCATTAGAATCAATATGTAATATACTTGGAAGGAAGCAATGTGGTCTATCGCTGTCATGTAATACAAGCTATAGCCTCACTAGACCTAACCTAATGCTACACAATATCATGCTCTCCTCTAATATATCACACCTTTTGTTCTGGTCCCATGGCTAATACATTTAATTTACAGCAGTGGTATTGATTTCTTTTTAACCAGTGTCACTGTGTAAGCATGTACAAAATATAAGCCATGTCAAGTCAGCTACTATACACTTTTTACTGGCACATAGCACGTGGTTTGCCATGTAATATACATGTATACATGTATCTGATTTCACACGTGTTTGCAATAGCGCAAGGTAATATCCCTGCACTCAATAAAATTGCTAGTAAGTCAATAATTTTGCTAGAAATGTATGCTGTGTGCAATTATTAAAAAAATGTCCTCCCATATGTGCTGTTTGTGCTATTATATACTTCACTTGTTATTGCAGGCTTTGGTAGGCAGCGTGGCCGATGCTGCTGGACCACTGGAACCAAAGATTGCAATGAAATGTGGTTTTCTCAATATGCATTTGAACATCAGCAACGGAGATTGGATTCCGGACAAAAGCGCCAATTCCAACTGTCTGACAGAAAAGCTAGACATACTAGAGTATTGTCGAAAGGTATGTTTCTCTATTTGAATTTGAAATATCATCATACGTTAATGTTTGCAGCCCTTGAACTTTCTCTCAGTGCTTGACACTTCGGGTTAAAAAAGAATTTTTGGGCCACCAGAAATTTATTTCTTCTGGCCCAAAATGAAAAGGGGTAGCCCAATTTTCCATTGGTCTTTTTTTGGTTAAAATATAAATCATAACCATAATGACACATAGTAATATGATACATCATACTTGTATGTATTGTGTATGCAGTATTTGTATAGATGTGGCGCCAGCAACTTGTATGTATTGTATTGGTGATATGGGCCGGTGGCCTTCTTTACCTGAATAAAGAAAATGTTGTTAAACCGGTAACACGGCGTCGCAGGAACACGTTGTCACATGAACATGGCTTCACTGGTAATACGTCGTCACATGTAACACGGCATGACAGGTACCACATCGTCACATGTAACACGGCTTCACATGTAACATGGCTTCACATGTAACACGGCTTAACCGGTAATACGTCGGCATGGGTAATACGTCGGCACCGGTAACACGGCGTCGCAGAAACACGTCACAGGTAACACGGCATAGAACATGAACTTCTCAAATAGTTTTGTGGAACTGTGTAGTTATTATCATACCTTTCAGAGTCCTTTGGTAAACGAAAAAAAGTGAACATTGTTTGTTCCTGACCATCGATTGTTACAATTAAATGAAGAACAGTAGGCACCACCATGGTTTCTCTAGTGCGGTGCCATGACGGCGTGACCACAAACTATAGACGGCGCTACCAGTTCAATTAAAAAATGGCTGCCCAATAGTAATTGCACTGAGTGACTATGCGCGTTGATTTATATGCTCTGATCTCCCTTTACATAGGAAAGCCGTGTCCGCCGAATGTTGCGATAAATCGAAATCTGAGCACTTGTTTTGCGCTGTGTTAACGGCGAACAGAAATTGTACTTGCCCAAAGATTTCATTTTGGGCCTGTAATATTTTGTTTTTGGTATTTTTTAATCGCCCAGCAGAGGTTTTGGTCGCCATTGGTGACCGGGTGACCGGCTGTGTTGAGCACTGCCTCTGCTGTCTATTCTGCTTTATATTGATTTTATTACTTTGTATCAGGCTTTAGTACCAATTATCTAGAGTGTCCATTATATTTTTTTCCCTATTATTACTGAAATTCTGATTAAGGATGTCACCCAAATCTTATTTGCAGTGCTGTACTGCATGGAAAACATGGCATTTCGTTTCAACTGATATGTAAAAGGATACTAAAATATAATAAGGATATGTAAGGATATGTAAAATGACTTAAAAATGAACTTCACATTGGATTTTTCACTCCATGTGCAATCTAGATATATATCCATTATCATATCACAAACGATGGTGCCGATGGTGCCGATGGTGCCGATGGTGTCATAGTGCCGATGGTGTCATTGTTTAGCTACGTTGTATAACAAATTGGTAGCATCAAAGAATGTATAATATATATATATATATATATATATATATGGCACCGCTTGGTGTTTAGCTGAGGTGTGACTATTTTATTAGATATTTTATTGATTAATTTGTTAAGTTATCCTAGTTTCTGCACTAAAATAAACTTAAAAGCGTATACAGTCATATTAAGTACGTAATTTCATGACTTAACATTGAAAGCCACATTTCGTTCCCACCTTTAAGATATCAATAATGTTCTCAGTATTAATTTGTGTTAAAAAATCATCATGACATGATGATTTTTTATCACAAAATATGATGTTTTAATAAGTATGCGCGCTCGTGCGTACATGCGTGCATTCGCGTGTGTTTATGACTTCGTTCAAAATGGTAACGAGGAATGAAAACTAATCACCCGTTTCCCATTGTAAATGGTTGTTCCTGATTCCTACTTGCGCCTTTGTTAGCACGCTCGCTTCAGATAGTCAGTATAGGGTGTATCATAGTGCTGACAGCCACAGTCTAGTTGACACGTGCATGTCAACACGGCTGCATGGTTGCGTGGTTACAGCGCTTGGCAAGTTGTTGTAGTTGCAGAGAGGCCGATGGCCTCCTATACTGTAGCTAATGCTACGTACCAGACAGCTCATTCTTTCAGGCCTCCCTCCTGCCACCCCCCCCCTCACTCCTCTCTCATCTCTCCTCCTCCCTCCTCCTCCTCCTCCTC